ATCATGGCTGTAGAGCGCGTAATGGTTTCTTTTCCAAGAGAAATCCAATTTTTAAAACCAATAGCAATTCTATAGAATTTGCTAAATTTACACAATATTTAGCTTTAATATAATCGATTATTAGTCCCTGTATTAATTACACTAAAGAAAGAATTTAAAAATCTACTCATTTCAATAGATTTGAGACGTTTTAGGAGGAATTTTAAATGATAAACTTATTGAAGGGGTGGAAGAGTTTTTATACTAACTGTTGCACCAATCTATGGGTTAAAATACTTATATACAGACCACTCATATTAATACCAATCCTTATTTTAGGGAGAATTCTGAACTGCCCGTGGCCTATTCCCTCCCCCCCCCTATTATTTACATAGATTTAAATTACAAACCAACTCAGTAGGCTAAATTCCTGAAGATAAGTGGAAAATGCAATCACTTATTTCTCATCGAACTGACATTAGACTTCTACCAGTTGCTCTACTTATAAAATGAAGATAAATTTATAATTAGTTAATGTTCAAGTATTAAGATTCATCAAAAATATTTTCAGAATTATAACAGTATCAAAAATTAAATGTATTTTTAAATCATGTGTATTTTGCTTACCTGTAAAAAAGGTTTCTGGAAAAACGAGCGAAATTTGCCAGCAGCGAAGCGGATGAACTGATTGATTGGAAACACGTAGTCAGTGTATATATCATGCGATAATGACGTCTTATGAATTCATGAACTGATTAGCTGTAAACACGTCATTGTATTTATATGAAAATGACGTCACATGAATTGAACTAATTGTCTTTTTGAATGTATTTGGGTAGGGATCGGTACAGGTTGGATGCACTTTTCACGAAAATTAATCACCTTACTCAGCCTACTGCTTAGCTCCTTATTTTAAAATTCAAGTATTTAAGTTAATTTGTTTTGTTCTAAAATACCAATTCGCGCGTCAGAATTCAATAGATTTGTTGTTGTTGCTTTCCTTTCTTATCATCAGTACACGGAGTTTTCACTTCTGATTAGACATATAACTAACTAAAGGTGTAAGTCTTGATTATATATAGTCATGTAATGGTATTCTGGTTATTTAATGTATTTTTTGAATCATCTGTATTGCATTTGCATTTTTTCTCAGTAAAAAATTACATATATACATTCTTACGTTTCATACTCATTCAAAAACTTATGTAACCCGCGGGCCACATGCGATCCACCAAAACATTCAGAAAACAAGACAGGAAATGTTCTCTATATTTTAGGTCACAAAATATATACCAGCAAAACTTTTTCTTGCATGAAGATCATCAAGAAGATAGAGGGTGATTCGCCAGACCAGACCGACAAACTTGCAGAGTGTGTAGGCGATACAGAGACGACTCGGGATGATACAGGAATGCAGGATCGCAAAAGCAGTAGTTGCGAGCTGTGCTGCGAAGTATTTGAGAAAAAGAACAAAAACAGCATCACAGAAAAGCGACCCAAAACATTTTATTGAAAGGTTATACACGACAGGCTTTCGAAATTACGACCAAAGTCGTCTGGCAGGCCTGAGACTGTCGCTGCACGGAATTCCTTACATTCTGGAATGCCACGTATTCCCCCAGCAGCTACAGATATTCGAGTGATGAGTTTTTTAACTGAAGGACCGTGTGTCTCGTACAGAAAAAAGAATAAGATAACTCGTTATAGAATATTAGGTGCTTTTTACTAGCACTCAGTTAAATAGTTTAATTCAGGTAGCTAAATTTTATATAAATTCATCAGACTTTCATCATCTACTGGATCTTTATTACATGTGCTTCCTCTAGGCAGTCAGTACAGCGAGTGAGTGGTTCTCCACTAACACCACGTTTTTATACAAAATACAGTTTTGTTCACAGTTAACAATATATATCATTAACACAAATAAAAAGTAAAAATACAAAAACTAAAATATAAATTTGGAAAATAATTTTAAAAATTAACAATGATTAAATTCATCTTAATAAAAAACAAGTTTAATATTTTTATTATTTATTCTAATAGAATTAATTTAGTTTTGCTAGAACCGTGCCAAGCATCATTCAGCAGATTTCTGAAAATAGCTTGACAGGTGCAGTCATCTAGTGGCGAAATAGTGAATTATTTTTATCGTGACAAGATTCACGTATCCTTCCGTTCACACTTGTGAACAGAAGGATATGTGATGATGTGTGATGTGGAACACGCCTGTTCGTGTAAAGATCCTGTTACAACTGCCGAGTGGCATGACGTTATATTCCGCACCTCTATACACTATCAACTTTTCGGCTGTTCCTTGTTTGAATTCGAGTTTATCCTATTACCTCTGGAACCGGATCCTAAATGACGACTTCCAGCACGGTTGGTGTTCACTAAACCTTTCGCTTAGCGCCATCTACCACAAGACTACCGGGAGGAGTCTTCGAGAACGTCGAGAATTCCATGCAGCATCGCTGTCAGACTTGCCAGACGACTTCTGGACGTAATTTCAAACACCTGTTGTAGTATAACCGTTTAATAAAATGTTTTCTGTCCCATTGATGTGTTTCTACAAACGTCTGGTTTTTTTTCTTTTGCCACCATAGCTCGCCGGATCATGGCTAGCGTGTCATGAGTTCGATCCTAGTACCACTAAAGACCCGCCGTGTAGGGGAGCAATGCACGTTAAATCTGTCGAGAGCTCAAACGTCCTCCCGTTGGTGTGGTGTTGTAGTTAGGAGAGGGGTTGCCAGCTCAGGTGTCATCCGCGTCACTTGACCTTGGTTCAAAATTACGAGGTCCATCGCCAAAAGCCCTCGTGTTGCTATTCAGTGCGACGTTAATATTTTCTCAGTCTCAGTACCATAGCTCGCTACTACGGCATTTGTGTGACCCCATGTGACGCCGAGTCATTCTTGAACGTCTGTCGGTCAGGTAGCGAACCATCCTGTAGTTTCAAGTTGGCTGACATTAACTTGTAGGTTGTGATAAGAATTTCGCAACAAGCAATCTCACTCCTGATTTAAAATAAAAATTGCGATAAGGTACATTTCTCTTCATTAAGCTTATTCTAAATTTAAGCAAGTCTGTAGCTATAGATAGGAAATTGGCTCAGTAAATAAATTGATTAAAGCCACCACACTATTTTATTTAACGTGATTTTTATGGTATAATTTATACTTTTTCTGAGATGCAATCATTTTAAAATGGTGCGGCACTCTGGTATTCTCCACTTCTACAATGTGGCCCTTGAGCCGAAATAATTTCTCTCCCCTTCTGTAGATTATATGATACGAAGAAATTATGCATATTATGTGAAACAAAATTTGTTTGAAACTGTCAGTAGACTTCTGTAAACAAAAAAAGGACTATTTTCATCCATAAAAGTTAAGTGCGGGGATGGATATCTGATCCTGAGTGTCTGATTTGTAACTCTGAGCCCTCTGGGTGAACTCCCTTAGAGTGCGAAGTTAATCAAAAATCTAACCCTTAATGTTACATCGATCAAATTCTACTGCAATCGCACTCGAAACAGATCATTCATTATACTCCTCGCGAAAAGTTTTTCTTAAATATAAGGAGAACAGACCTTTTTACTTTTTGTGGTTGATCTATTTTTTATAAAAGAAAAAGCGTGACGAACTTTGTTACTTCCGAGGTATTGATTGTGTGTCGCTTCTAAGCAACAAAAAACAACTTTTTGTCTGTTTCCTAGCTTTAAATAGCCTATTCTTACTAATTTTGGGTTAAGAAAAAAGAATATGTAAATGAAATTTATTTTTTAGTTCTTGTTTTTAAGATACACCACAGCCCATCCATCAATTTATTGGTAATTTTGAAAAACAAAACTTTACTAACACATACAGTACAATAAGTCATGTTTCAACCGTTTTCATATGAAACCATGTTCCTATGAGAAATCAGTAGTATTTTTTGGTTAATTTCCGGTGAACATTTCCCCCTGAATTGCCTCTTGTATATCGAAGCCCCAGGATCCCTTATAACTGTCCAGCAGTAGTTTGCGAGCATTGATTCATCCCGATGACCCTGATATATACGTTCCATTGCTGTGATGTCTTGATGAAACCTTTCACCGTGTTCACATCGCTTACAGTTCCATAGTTTTTAGGGAAAAAATCAAGATGGGTATGTGAAAAATGGATCTTCAGAGACTTATTGCATCCTGGGTCATGAAAATTTTGTAGGAGTTTTCTGACCAACTGTTGTTAGTTCTCATCCTTTTCAATGTCTAAAAATCTTTATACCAAACTTACCTTTGAGACCTAAATATAATTTAATTCATTTACCTTGAGTTGTAAGATGAAAAACAGCGAATATCACTTGAATCGTGTACTATTGCTAGTTCTTTGTTCTACTGATGCTCTAGGTTAGACACAAAAAACACCTGAAAAAAGGTGGCGCGCTTCCACGTATTTCGTTGAAATAAAAATGGATTCTGAGGCAAGAGCTTCCATCTACCTGCTAAAATGAACATCAAAAAGATTATACACTGAAAGTAAAGATGAGTAAAGATGCAGCTATTTATGAATAGCGAGTTCTGATTCTTGAAAACAAGAGCTAATATGAAGTTTTTAGGATGATTTTCGTGTTTAGCAAACCAAAATACTTCATAATAAACTATTTTTGAGCCCAAAACAATTGATGTTGCCTAGTGTTACCATTAATGTAACCTTCTATAGAAATGGACAGGTGTTTTTAACTCGGAGTGTGAGGTCACTTTACCAATACCTAACATTCCCCCTCCTGCCTCACTTCCAATTCCTACTACTAGTTTTTACAGTCTCCCTATTTTTTTATATATATCTTCAAATTTTCAATCGTGAAAAAAATACTTTTTATTCATTCTCTCATATTGAAATACATTTTCTTAAAACATGTGGTGGATGGCCCTTGATGCTTTTTCAAATTTTCATTCACTAATTTTGTTTAATTAATGAATAAATAGTATCAAACAAAAATAATAGTCCAACCACATATATAAAAAGGAAAATCGCTCGTTGTGTGTCCTTGTAGTGCAATGGATAGCACGTTGGATTTCTAATCCAATGCTCGTCTGTTCGAATCCCACCTAGGATGGCCTAATTTCTGAGAATGTGATTTCTTTTTACTATTCTATTTTATTGGAATACTTAAATTTAATTAATAAATAAATAGTAGCAAACAATTGTAATTACTTAATAAAAAGCAACTAGAATAAAATTTATCTTTGTTAACCCAAGTAGGAACTGACTTTAAAGAAAAAATTTATATAAATTTTTTTACTTTAACTGCAAGGGTTTTATTTTCTATACTTACATTATTTTTGAAAAAAAAACAAAGCAAAAATCAGTTATTTATAGTTTATTTGCCGTCGGTTTGTATGAAAGATCAAACAATGCAAGGGTTGATTGTTAACATAGCTCTTCGAAGCCTCGACCGAGATTGCCATTTGTTTTAAGATATCCGACTACTTGTGACAATTTTTTAAAAAAATGAAGATATGGGGATTTTTTTTGTTGGTTTTAGATTTGTTTAGTACATTTTAAGAAAAATATACTAAAATTCAGAATAGAAAAAGAAATTATTAGTACTAAATTGGGAAAAATGGGTAAAATTGACAAAAAATAACATAAACGCGACCCATTCTGTACCAAAAGTTTATAAACAAATTTTCAATTCTGATTTGTTTATATGTTATTAATTTTTGAATTGACCTTCAGGAAAAGAGATATTTTAATTTTTACAAAAACTAGAGCACTTTATCTTAATTATTAGATGAAATTTTGCTTAAAAAAACAGCGATTATATTCACATAAGGGGCTGTAAATGTTGTAATAAAACAGTGATTTATAAATCTGAAGATTAAAAAAACTTCTAGTATTATACAGAACATATACAAAAAATTTCAGGTAATTATTTTCAAAACATTTTTAGCAATCGCTGTCCTTGTTTGAGCATTAAGAAAAAACATACATTTCGAGTAAAACGCGTTTTAAAGTATGGCATCTTACTTAAAGTAATGGCATCTGCTTTTACCAAAAAACTTGTAGTATTTTTCTAGTGAACGGAAAATAATAAGCTTGGTATTTTTATAAAGCTAATAAGAAGGCCTATAAAATAAATAATAATTATAAAAAATTGTCATTTTGGCAAAATTCAATTTTAGCGTAGTCGGATACCTTAATCCTCGGTCAAGTAACGCAGACGACACATGCGCTGTTAGTCCAATCCCAAAGGACCACGACACACCATCCTGAGTCTCGACATCTTTAACATCCATTGGCCCTTCTATACTCCAGATCATCAGTGGCTCTTGTACCCAAACCAATAAATAGAAGAATACCTTGCTGACCACGAGTTCAAGAGCATGACCTCATGCTCATACGAGACCGGGATAGCTGAGTGTTTAAGGTAATGAAAGGCGATGAATCTGTATCCACTAAGGCCCCACCTCGTAGAAGAGTTGATGTCGGTAAAATAGGTCGAGGCTCGAAATTTTGACGTCTATTTATGCGGCATCATCTAAAAGAAGTTCAGAATTAAGTCGAAGATCACCTGAAGTCAATATATATCGCACATTCGCCAGTCAAGACTGAGTGGTGCCAAAGTAAACAACCGCCAGATGAAGCAATAAAAGGTTTCTTGTTTACTTTTCCATCATGACTCCGCACAATTGATTAGAGCTTAAACGCACAGATTAAGCTCCGGAAGAAATTGCGCTTTAAGGTGTGCCAAAGCCATTACGGAAGAGTTTACAAAAACACTCTGCAGATGTGCCATCCAAAACAACAAAAGAAGCCTCGATGCCATCGACACAAAAACCGGATGATGTGCGCGCTAGTACCAAATGATGCTTTCCGCGATAATTGCATTTCCTTCCGGAAGGCGCACAAAAGCGATAGTAATTAGTGAACGGGAGGCGGTTTCTTCCCGTCTTGTCTTTTTGAAAATATCTTGGTTTGTCTCCACTGAAGGGAGTGCTGCTCGGTTCCTTTCTCGAAACGATGGCTTATCTTCTTTCATTATCTCTATAAAAGGAACTTTTTCAATGCTTTCCACACATTCCTTTTTATCCAGCCTCTCTCGCCTTTATAACATTTGTTCCGAAACAATTTTGATAAGGAACAGATGGCTGAAGTGCTCGTCCTGGTTTTCGAGATGACGAGGTTCATCGCAAATAGCCTTCGTCATTCCATTCCGGCACTGGATTTGTGCATCAACAAGTGTCAACGATTGCCTCTTTCAAAGCATTATATAAAATAACATTTTAAAATTAGTCTTTTATTTTACAAAGGGTCTATATATATTATCACCCCTGATTGTTTGAACAGTTTTCTGGAGGAATGCACATCAAGGATCAGATTCTTTCGCTTACCTGGGAAGCTTTAGGAAATTTCCTAGATGTAACTCCTTTCCTCCTGGATCAATAGCTAAATTTATCTACGGGGTGTGATGTTTGAAAGTAATGGTAACGTGATAGCTATTAATTTAAATATTTGTGGTTATTCTACATCACAGCTATTAATTACAGTACAGTAGAACGTCGTTTATCCGAACTTTTATTATCTGGAGCGTCAAATATCCGAACCAAAGTCCGGATACCTTTTCAAACAGTGCAATGGTCAACATTTGTTTCCTGTGAGCCCAAAAGTGACAGGAAAACCTAAGGTGAGGGATATTTGGGGAATTTCAGCTAAGTGATTCGGTAAACATCTGCGAAGAATATTAGGTCCAAGTGAAGGGGTGTATACGTAATCTTTTGTTGAGTTTTGTTGATGCAGAAACCTGGATAGCATGCAATGCAGAAGACTATGGAATTTAAATGCTAAATGATGAAGAAATTGTGATTTCCGTGCAAGAAGTATCTGACCCCGTCGACGATGAAACGGATGAAGACGAGGACAACAACAACGAAAGTAGCAAATGCTGACACGTTTTTCTGCGTTAGAGACGGCTGTGGAGTGGTACGAACAACAATCAAAGTGCTGTCCTACTTCAACTATTGCTACTGAAGAGAATCGGAGACCTTTCATTGAAATAACGAAGGTGTACAATGGTACATCGAAAAATAAGTGATTATTTTCCCCAATCAAGGTAAAATTGCGACATTTTGTACCTATTTTGCTTTTTCTTCAAGCACGTTTTCCGCATGGGATGATTTTCAATATTTATATAGTGTCCAGCATCATATACTGCATGGGTCGTATTCTGTTTTCGGTTATCCGAACAATCGCGTATCCGAAATGATGTCCGGTCCCCATGATTCGGATAAACGACGTTCTACTGAATATAAATTGAAGTTACTAAAACTATTGTTCAGATAATTTAAGTCTCGAAGAGATGTTCATGAGGGAGGAGGTCACATCCATTCTTTGCGGAAACTTCAAACCGTCTCCTCTGTCTAGGGTCTCGGGATGGTAGCGGTCTCCCTCTTTATTCTCAAGTAACGTCTGGTTCGTAGGCGAAAGGGATCTCACGGTGTCAAAGGTTGCCGAGGTAGTGACCAAAGACAAGACCTCGTAATATTCTAAGGGTGCACGTGTTTCTAGAGACGCGGTTATCCTATCCACAAAAAGAAGCCAATTTACAGCTGTTTGACGGGAAACATTACAGCCAAACACTCGATGCGCGTTCTGAAAGTTGCTTTTCAATAAAGCTTTTCAACGGCCTTGAGAGCCCCCAGAGAAAATCTTGAGCCAGCACCCTGATTATAGGTTGACGACTGAAAATCTCATATTCGATGCCTTTTATTTTTACACAGAGGAAAAGGCAATATTTTTTCCCCTGGTATTAAGCTTTCAAATATAAACAACTTGTTTTCTTTAAAAAAAACAACTTTTACTTTGTTTCTCAAATAAAAGACTAGTGCTACTGAAGATCCATGTAGAGGGGTGGATGCATGTTAAATTTGTCGAGGCGCAATGCCCTCCCATTGATCTGGTGTGGTAGTTAGGAGACGGGGTGCCAGCTCAGGTGTCGTCTTCATCACTTGAACAGGGATCAAAATGATGAGATCCTTTGCCAATAACTTTCGTGTTGCTTTTCATTAAGACGTTATTAAAACTCTCATTTCCCTCACTCAGAAAAAGACATTTAGTTTTGAAGACAATGGTCCGAATTTCTGCGTCTTTTATGAGAATTGACTGGGTCAAAGTTGCACTTATATAAATAGTATTTTTTCCTCTTAAATTCACGCCAGATTATTTTGCCATACATTTCAGGCTAGAAATCAAATCTCTGACGAGTTATGGTAAAATAGTTGATACTGTTTCAACAACAGTGGGCTAAAATTCACGTTACATCTTACTCACTCGATGAATGCAATCATGAGTTTACAGCATATCGGGTCACAAGCTTCGCTGCTACTTCATTTTGATTTCAACAAAAACTTTCTTTTATTAATACATTTGGCCATTAGTCTCGATCTATATTCCACATACTTAAGAACAACACAATTAAAAGATAATAGTGTGGTGCATATCATCAATAAGGTCCTTATACACGGACTGTCCAGACAGAGACTGAAGTGTCCTTTATTCGAATTTTAAAAGATGAACATTCAAATAATCGTGACCAGTCAAAAGACGAAATATCGCTACGGTTTCAGGAGTTGATCCAATGATAATGGAGTTGACATTCCCATACATGCTCAACTGGACACAGATCTGGTGATCTCGCAGGCCAAAATAACGTGTCAACATTTTGTAGAGTACGTTGCCTTACAACAGCCGTGTGAGAGTAAGCGTTATCCCGTCGAAAAACTCTCTTTTGAATGCTGCTCATGAATGGTAGTACTATACGTTGAATTACCAGACTGACGCACAAATTTGCAATCGGTGTGTTTGGGAAAACGACGAGAGTTTCATCTGTCATAGGAAATTGCTCCCTAGACCTTGACTCTAGGTGTAGGTCCATTGCGTCTAGGCCGCAAACGGTGGAGTTGCTGGCGTTCTCCTGGCCTCCTTTTGACCAACACACAATCATCACAGTTACCAAGGCAGAACCTGCTTTAATTAGAAAACACAAATCTCAACTCCATCCTTCAATGAGCTCTGGCTTGACACCACTGGTGTCGCTTGGAGTCAGTGGAATACCCG